GGAATTGGCCAGCATTGTGGAGCTTGGAATTCTTCCTGCTCTTGGGGCGTTCTTCTTAGCCAGAAAACTATTCCCAAGAGTTGCTCATTCTTCGAAAGTCATAAAGCATAAGGTAAGACAAGATAAGATAAGATAACTTTCGTCCTCCATTGCCTTTTCCTGTACTATTTTTCTAGAAATTTACTCCACTACCAATAAAAGTGTGAGCAAGACTGTTTTATAACCGAGGCGCCAAACTGTCACCACCTTGGATTATAGATCTAACCTCTTTAGGCACATCAGATAAGAGGGAGTTATGGAGTGAAGTCTATTATAGAAGTTAACTCGCCACCACCAACTGGCGCAGGTTGATTCTTGAAAACCTCATGATACATGTTATGCAGTCGAACTTGCTCTAACGGCTACCTGAATACAGGGGCGAAGGCTGACTTGTTTGACAGGGTAACCAAAGCGAAACGGGATCAGATATGGCCTGTAGATATCACACAAGAATCTTACTCGAGGCGGCGACTCTGAGTTGTGAATGAAAACAAATCCGGAATTCATATTGTATGTTCAACCGCCAAAATAATCGGGAAAGTATCTTATTAAATAGTTACAATTAAAATTAAATTTAACTTTAGATGTGAATACATAAACACAAAGCAAAGAAGCAGAGATGTCAGTACTAGATCTATATGTCATAGATCTACCAGTGAGTCTAACTCTTTGGTAGAACATGACAATTATCATTTTTTCAATTTCACATTTGGCTGTTTTTGTTAGCCTTTCGCGGCCAGGAGCTGGTGTCATAATCGAGGTCACGATCTGATTATAGGACGTTAAAAAGTCGAGGGAAAAAAAAACAAGCACAAGCAGCGGTCAAGAGATTATTAGGAGTTAGTTCCCCTCACATTTGTGAGATAGACTCGACCAGTGTTAGTTAGCTTACATAATCAGGGCTTGTGATTGATTATAACTGTGGCCCCAAAGGGGTGAACAGGGTATATGTGGCAATGAAGCAGCTTTGACTGCTATGCACATGTTCCCTTCAACTCTATTGGTAGACTCTTCCAGCCTCACTTTAAGCTTACTTAATCAAAGCTTGCGACTGCTTATGGAGTGGCCCGAGAGGGGTGAGGAGGCTATTTCTGTGGCCGTGAAACCGTTTTGAATGTTAGACATACTGTTCATTGTTGATTACGAACGTCTTTTTACATTTAATTTAAGAGGTTTACGTTTATGGATGAATTTGACAGCGACAATGTTTCAAAATTAGGAAGGGAAGCAGTGATTATTTGATTATATAGACGCTTCGCCCCTGCCTGAATAAGTTAATCGCTTGTGCAAACGGCCGCTCCCCATTTCCTCTTGTGCGTGCGTTTTTGTTTTTTCTTTGGTTGTTGTTGGGAGGGGTTATTGTTGTTTTGTGGGGGGGGGGGGTCTTTTTTTTAACCTTATTAGATAAGGCACGATATTCACCTGTTTAATACGACCACTTTTCTCCACAACAATGGATGGCCGCCTTTGACAGTTTCGACGGTCTTCTGTGCTTTTCCAAACTTCCGCAGACCTAGAGCACTGACAACATAGCCAGCCACCCCTCCTTCCAAATGATTTAGGAGATGTGACAATATCCTACCCAGACAAACTCATCGTATAATAATCATCATATTCCATTTGATAGGACTACGCAGTTTTGTGTTATGCATTGAATGTTATGCAAATCGTTGTGAAATACAGCAGATAAAAATCTCCCCCCAGGGACTAATATTCTCCCGCTTACTCAATATCGCACAGAGAATCTTTGTGAACAACCTCATAGGTCTATAGGCTACTGGCAGGCGGCGCCATATGGCTTCAGTCACATTGTTATTATGGATGAGAGGGCTAATATCGATGAACTTTGTAAATTATAGAAGGGGGTAAGGGGGGGGGGGTGCAAAGAGAAGTCGTCGCAATCTTTCATTTTTATTGTTGTTTATATGTAATACATAATGGCAAACATACATATACATACATAAATACGTAATTATAAATGCGTACATACATAAATACACGCATAAATACATTCATAAATACACAATATTACACAAATACAGAACATATATACACATACGCACATATTATTATATAAACACATCATGTATAATAGTAATAGTGATAATTATAACTATACAAGTACTTACAATTATTATTATTATTATTATTATCATCATCATCATCATTTTGTCATTGCCAACAGGAGTCAGTTTCGGACATCGACCTGGACCAGGAAGTGCAGAAAAACACCAGCTTCTCCGAAATGGTGCCGGCCAGAGAGACGCCACACGCACAGAGCGAGCAGACGGGGCCAAAAGAACCGACAGAGACACCCAGGAACACGTCCTGTGGGGACAGCATGGAGCAACTCTGGCCTGTGGGGGCTGGGGCTACCGTCACGCACAGTTCTGTCCAAGTTTTTCACAGGTATGGAAAGGGATGATGATGATAATGATGATGACGACGATGATGATGATGATGATGATGATGATGATGATAAAGCGGTAAAAAATTAGCCGAAAGATCGTTCGCCCACCTTGCTCCGTCAGTTTGGAACTCTCTTCCCCAACCCTTGAGACATACAACATCTGAGTCTAAATTTAAAAAATCTTTAAAGACACATTTAATGACATCCTTTTTAAGTCAGTAGATTCATGTTCGGTGCAATGTTATGTAAATGTCTATGTATCCATTTATGTATTTTGTGAATTGCAGTGTATATATTATTTTATTCTCATTTCGTGACGATGTGTAATCGTGTGCGTGTGATAAGCAAATAGATGTGTGTGTGTGTGTGTGTGTGTGTGTGTGTGTGTGTGTGTGTGTGTGTGTGTGTGTGTATGTGTGTGTGTGTGAATGTGTGTGCGTGTTATGTGTTCGTGAGTGTGTATGCGTGTGTATATGTATATGTGTGTGTGTTGTGTGTATATGAGTGTGTGAGTGTGTGTGTGTGTGTCGCGTGCATGAATATTTTTTCTTACATGCATTTATGAAAGCGCCTAGAGGTGTGTTTCACGGGGAGTGGGCGCTATAGAAATGATCTTCATTATTATTATTATTATAACTGTTCAGTTTCAGAGTCTGTTTTTAGGGATGCTTATAAAGAGTGAAATACCAAAATACTTCAAAAAATTTTCTTTCATATGCAAGGTTACAGTGGAATCTTGTTTATAATGAGAAGGGATGGGGACTGGGGGGGGAAATGTCCCGTTACAGCCACAATTCTCGGTAATAAGGGGTCCAGTTAAAAATTAAATGGAAATATAAAGGTAGGTCTAATCCTATTAGGTTAGGGCCCCTTGTATATTTTCTTTTTTG